TACTGAAATAACATAGGAGACGATGCATTACATATCCTAGTCAAAACAAATATTACTTTTCACGGAGCCACGAGAGAGCGCGCAAGCGAACGGAGCAGGGCGGGGGACGGGCGGCGCCAGGGATCAATAGAGACAGCGATCAGCCCAGCCCAGCGCGACTGGGGAACGCGGCCAGGGGAAGGCAGCGGGGGCGGGGGCGGGCGGGGCCGGAGATCGGTCGCGGAGCCCGCGGGGGCCCGGCCGGGCGGCGCAAGATAGATGAGGCGGTGGCGACCTCTGTGACGAAATTTTGTGCGCTGCCTGTTACGGCGAGTGTCGGAGACGCGCGCGGCACGCGGCGGCGGCGGCGGAGGAGGAGGGCGCGGGACGGGGCGAAACAGGAGCGCGGGCGATGCATCAGCGCCACAATCCGCCCTGTCCGAGCCTCGTTTGTCTCCCGCGCCGATCGCCGGCGACGGGACGGAGCTGCGGCGGTTGTAGACGCGGCGTGTGGAGGGCGGGGGGTGGCGGGGGCGGGCGGGGTGCGGGTGGCGGCGGGGGTGCGCCGTGGGGAGGCCGGGGGCGGCGGGGGAGGTGGAGGCGGCGGATGAGAACGGGGGCGGTGACGTCGATAGTGGTGGTGATAGTAGAGGTGGAGGTGACGCCATTGCGGGAAATGGCGTTGCTGGTGGTCGAGAACAGCAGAGGTTGCTGACGCGGAGGCGGCGGCGGTGAGGGTGAAGGCCGAAACTGAGGATAATGTGGAAGCGCAATGTAGCGATACCTCATTTCGGCACTACAACGGCAAAGTTGCAAAGCGTTTCCATAATGGCTACGTGCTGGGTACATTCCAAGAAGAGAAAATTTACTTTCCAAAGACGTTTGATAATTCATCAAGAATACACGTACATATATCGTCTGATAAAGCTGAAAGTATACTACTGAAACAGTACTAGAAATTCAACAAACTAAACAAGAAGAATCGCTAAACACACCACGAACAATTTTCGGCATTTGACAATTTGAAAAAGTTTAGGATTGCTTGCCTGAAGGGAGAACATATTGAGGAATGCTTTTCACGTGAGTTGAAAGGTAACCGCGACCACTTCACAAACTCTCTCTCTCCGGACATACGAGGTAATTAGAATTCGTGTGCACACGGTTGCCCAGCAGTGAACTTAAAACTATCATTTTGATTAGTCCTCTTGTCCAGGCCTTGTTTAGACAATAAGTTGGACCATTTTATATCCAGGATTTCGGCACATAGTAAGAATCATTACATTAAGTAATTATTATGAGTGCGAGTTTTTGTTATGTTATTCACTTAAGTGAGTAATATGAAATGAAATGTAACTTTGAATAGACTTTGTAAACACACTCAAACTTTAAGACACTGGAATACATAATGATCGGACTTTGCTTCTCCTTACTTTCAAGCATAGAATAATAATTGACAATGAGGTGACAATTAACGCTTATCTTTAAAAAACAATCACTTTCACCTATTTGCCAAAATGCATTTTCAGCATTTTTGCTACGCTCACTGGATTTTATAGCATCATTAACATATTTATAGTATTTCAAATAAACTCGTTCTCACATCAAGTATTCCCAAAGAGGCCCGTTCATATCATATCGCGGAAGTTTTCTGTGTCTCATATAAAATGGACGTGGTTAAAAAGCTAAATTAGACGTGCGATGTACAACGGAAAACAAACAAAAAATGCGAATGGTGAGTTTTTGGGACAAAAATTTAGAACATAGCATGAGGGACGTTAAGATGATGACTATGTCATGGTATGGGTGTGTATGTGAGGCACGTAGGACGTGGGATGATGGACATTGGTCACGGGCTGTGGGACATTGAAACTGGAACGCGGGAGGAGGCGAGGGGAATGCACAAAAATCGAACGTGAAAAGTGAAAAGACAGGCATGGAAAATGGAAAATAGGAGTGGGAAAATGGTTCGCCGAAAGTAGGGAATGCGTCAGGGGAATTGGATCAGGGAAAGTGGGTCAAGGGAAGCGGGTCAGAGGAAGACGGTCAGGGGAAGTGGATCATGTGACACTTGGAATTTGGATCTGAAAAGTGCAAGGGAAGTGCGAGGGAACCGTGTTTAGGGGCCCGGGAACCGGGCTCAGGGGAAGCGGGCCAAGGGAATGCGGGTTAGGGAAAGCGGGTCAGGGGAAGTGGGTCAGGGGAAGCGGGTCATGGAAAGTGGGTCAGGGAATCCGGTCAGAGGAAGTGGGTCAGGGGAAGTGGATGATGTGACACTTGGAATTTGGATCTGAGAAGTGCGAGGGAACCGGGTTAGGGGCCTGAGAACCGGGCTCAGGGGAAGCGGGCCAAAGGAATGCGGGTCAGGGAAGCGGGTCAGGGGAGCGGGTCAGGGGAGCGGGTCAGGGGAGCGGGTCAGGGGAGCGGGTCAGGGAAGCGGGTCAGGGAAGCGGGTCAGGGAAGCGGGTCAGGGGAAGTAGGTGAGGGAAAGCGGGTCAGGAGAAGTGAATCATTTAACACTTGGAATGCGGACCTGAGAAATACGGCTTGGAAGCTGGGTTGAAGAATGTTGGGCGTGGGAACTGAAAGCGGTAATTGAGATGTGGGGAGTGGAACGCGGGCAGTAGAAAGAGGGACACGGGAAGTGGGTCATGGGCCGTTGGAATTTGTACGTAGAAGTGGTACGTGGAAATTAAGACGTGGAGTGTCGGACGTGGGAGTGAGACGTGGTGCTGGGGGCTGGAGGCGTGGCGCTGGAACGCAGAGCGCGGGGCGAGCGGGGGGGGAGGGCGTGGACATGAGAGGCGAGAGCACCTGCCCGTGACAAGCGCCCGACGCGCTGCGAGTCGCCGGAGCATCGCAGGCGATGGGGCGATCGGGCGGTGCGGAGCAGCGTGCGGCACGCGGGCGCCTACGATTGGCGCTGCCAGACGCCCCGGGCGAGTGGGCGATCGAGCGAGCGGGCGGGCGGTCGGGCGGTCGGGTGGACGCGAGAGCCGGCAACGGCCACAGCGCGCGCCTCGCCGCCGCTCGACAACCGCCGGCCGAAACACACACGAGGTATCCGCGCGATCGCTTTCACAGACGGGCTTTGACAATCCCGACGCCCGAGCCCGCACGCCGTTCGCTGGTCGTCAAGGCAATCGGATGCTCACGCGCCGTGGCTTGGCGTTCGCTGTAAGGGAGACACCGCCTGCAAGAGCGGAGACACGACCCATCATTCCAATTCCATGAGGTTACGTTCTCATACTCAAACCACTGTGTATCCCTCCTCTCCACCGGGAGAGGTGGCTCAGGGCATCAACTGATGTCACTGCAATCCCTCTGACCGGCAGGTCCAATGATCGAGCCTCGACGGTGGCAGGGGTTTCGACACTAACTTGTTAGCTAGGTCGAATTCAGTCTCTGCCGGGAGGAGAATTCTAGCGGCTGGCAGCTCTCATCGGCATTTTTCCGTGGTTTCTCCGATCAACACCAGATGAGTGCCAGTGCAGTACCCCAACAAATGGGACACGGTCCTCTTCCTTGTCCTATTTTTACCCCTTACACACACTAACAAGGTGTTAAGAGCTTGTCACGGGTTGAGCGGTGCCCCACAGTTTGGCGAAAATCCCACGAGCCGACGGTAGATCGGCGCCGGATCTCGCCATATAGCGGGGGAAAGATCACCTCCCGAGCAAAACACGTGCATTTCACTTACGAGACTCATGACCTTGGTAGTTGATGTGACCGGAATCACTTATCAATCAATCAAACCCTCCTCTCCGATGACACAGCACACGAACACTCATATAACCTGCATTGCCGTGTCTCATGACTAATCGGAAGCTCCGAGCTCTCCTCAACCGGGGCGGTGCCCGGTTGGGGTGTTACCTTGAAAGGTAAAACCCTCAGGCCGATGCATAGTTCGTCTCTGACACCCATGTTACCATGGTGAGTGGAACATCATCTCCCATAAAAAATGCACATGACTGTCAAGACTAATCCCCTAAGCAGTTGACAGAATCAGTAACGACTCACTCGTCAATCTATTTTGTAAATTGCTTTTTGTGTGAACAAAACTGGCCCGTGGCTGCGTTATTACAAAAGCGCTCCCAAAGGGCTGAATCAGCCTCGGCAGTCCGTGTGGCAACAGCGTGCAGGCGCAAGTAGCGTTGCGGTGCTCAGCTTCAGTATTTGCCAAAAAAGCGTCCGTCTGTCTGCTCGCGTACCGGATCGAGAAGTCATCTCATCCCGATAATTAGTGTTCAGAATCTTCGTCATAAAGAAGTGTCAAAAGTTATGTGAATGTTTGAATTTGACGTGTGTCTGTGAACATTTAATTTATTCTTCATGTCTTCTGGGCTGATGGGCCGTGGTCCAATAGGCTCTGAGATGCCATCTGGATTTGGCATCTCAGAACCAATTGGACCACGGCCCATCAGCCAGGAAGACATGAAGAATATTGACTCCGGCCGTGAAAGCCTACAATGCTATTTAATTTATTGTCTGAAGTCAACGACAAGCAAAATTTCAAGAGTCTCTGGGAGATATAAAGATCTATAACGGTCTCTGAGAGATGAATTCAGAAAGGTTTCTCCGAAATTAGCCAACATTTTAGCAAAGCCAGCAAAAAATAAAGAGGACGTGAAAGTCACATCACACATCGTTGTCTAATAAGAAGAACAGGAATTTCCTTGCCAGTTACCCTTGGTCAACGTGAAACGTCGGCACAAAACGGGTGGTTTTGACCCAACTCACATTTTATTGAAATTAGTCATTTTTATTGCCCTGGGAAACAATGAAATCCTTTTTTTCAAATTACATCCTTTTCAACATTTCAATGAACAATAAGTTCACATTTTTCCAAATAAATGCCCACCACATCCCTGTAACGCGCTTTCTTTTCGTTTGACCGTACGTTGTAAGAACAAAGGTTATCACGTTCATGTTAGAATCGCATCTATGACAGATCGGATTCCATTCTACGCAGCACAAACGCACATCACTGCGCGTCTTGGTGGAGAGGGCTGGCGGGTACTCACCAGTCGGCACGGGTGGGCCGCGGCCGCAGTTGCACACGTGCGCCGGGTCGCCGTGCTCGTAGGGGCACTGCGTCACACAGCTCTCGTCGCCGCACGCTCCTGCAAAGAAAGCCAATTAAAAAAATAACTTAACAATCAATGACCCGCTTTAGCCGTTTAAATTAAATACGTACATTCATATATTTGAAATGTGATACATTATATTCAGAAATATAGTGTTATATCAACTACAGTTGATTATAGTTTAAAATGAGAAAAGTCTTATTGGTGCTTGCCTATGAGGGATCGAAAAATTCTCTTGATAACTTTCTTTTTAATCTTTTGCGATGAGGAATTGGCTTTGCTGTGAAAGTTAATAGCTGAAGGGATCTTCAATATTTTGGAATATAATTTTGTGGGTAAGAAGGAGAAGTGAATGGGGATGGATGTAAGTTCATTATGTAACTGCGCATTCGCAATGTGCCAGGGATCTTTTGTGATGGTGCGTACGAAAATCCAAAGTAGAGAACAGTAAGTTAACAATACGGTTTATAGCAAAGGGGAGGTAAAAACCTCTACCTCTATTACTAATTAGCAATGCGAACAAATCTTGAAAGAAAACTATGCTGCCGCCAGCCATGTAAGTGGTGTCGACGGTTTCGGTACATAACCAGGAACTCAAAAATTCAAAAACGATGATAAAGTTTCAATTTTCATTAAAAAATAAAATATATGATTGCAATTAATCTGATTATCGTACTGCGCTGACGTATCGATTGAATTCTCATGCTGAATGTTTCACTGCCGACGTCTTGCGACGAGAAAGAACCTTCTGTATTCAGGTTCGCTGTTTTAAAACAACCATTTTTTTTTCCTCGACCCCATTTTCTTCACAAACACGCTCACACTCTGTACAGTGTGCTGCTACTGGCAACTAGGCTGCAGGCACTACGAACAATTAGAGGATATCTCTTTCCTTTGAAAATGCATTTATTCACTATTTACCATGTGTATATTCAAATGTCAATGAACACATTGACTTACATCCCAATTACTGAGACATTTATATATCACTTCACTGTTTTCCTAACGAGAAAGAAACAAACTATTGGCGAGTTCTGTACTTCAATTTGATGGTACCCTGTCGTGAAGAAATGAAGAGAAAGCAATGCAAACTTGCAAATAAGGTAAGTTTCTGATGAAAATACACTGTTTCACCGGCCCCACGAATACGAAAGGAAATACAGGTTATAATACAGGTCCAAAACTCTGAATTATATAAAATTAGAAAAAAATGATTTGAATCTGACCTTAATATATAAGCTGTATTTTTTTCATTTTATTTCTTATTCAAAATATTAAGGCCAGAAATTAATTTCACATAATTATTTTTCAAAATATTCGTGATTTTTGAATTATTTTTATTCAGATTGTGACATATTTCTTAAAATATATAAAACTACAAACTCTTTTAAAGGAGTTCTAAAACTTTCTATAAGGGCGCAACACACTGCATGTTTGTGCATATGGTATTTTCATAAAAATACTTCTTAAAAATTAAAAATAAATATTTTTTTAGAATTTTCCGTTTTTTGGTTTTGTTTGTAATTTTTCAAAAGATATCTGAAGTTTTAGCTAGGGGTAATATTATAAAGTTAAGTAACAGTTAAAAACAATATTAGAAGGTGTTTGTGCACCACTGTTTATATTTACGAGAATATCCACGAGAAACAATATTCGAATTTTACACGAAACCAATACACTTCATTAACACAATGCTGCCGTCAGTGGAAAGGTTATGATACTTTACTTTCTTCTCTTCCGCTTAGAAAAATAGACCTCATTGACCTGCATTGTTTACAATGCTTACAGCTTCTAATCCTTCAATTATTTTACAAGAATCTAATGAAGCTAATTGGTATGTTTCAAGCTATAAGACGCAAACCACATAATACGTATCTCGTATAAACATTCAAACAAACATGTTCGATTGTCTGTAATCGTCTCATCAGTGTAATGGGCAACACGTTGTAACGGCGGGGAAGCACGCTCCGCTAAACAACACAAACAGCGCCAACCCAACCGCGCGTCCCTGGAAATCCGGTGCATTTCGGAAGCGCCGTGCCAGCAATGGAACCAGCCGCTGGTTTACCTCACAGGCAGAACTGTCTTGACTGCGCAACGCCTCTGACCGGGAGGTTCTAGGGTTCAAATCAGACGATTTTCGACACTACTAGTTGAGTAGAATTCAGCCTCTGATTCGAGGAGAATTCTTGCGGCCCTGATTGGTAGTTTTCGGAACAACCACAAGAAAATACGGGAACCTAACGAAAGGATCATGGACTGCACGAGATCTTTCCTTCTTCTTCAACAATATCGTATCCTCTCTTTTTAAACATACAAATGCACTACACTACCATACATGACGAAAGACCAAAGGCAATCTTAAAACTTACATCGGCTTGCGTGGTGTCTCGATCGAGGAAGATAACTGAAAGGCCTTGGTTGCTACGCCGGTGGTTCCACCGATTGACTCCAGGCGAATGCCGGAGCAGTGCCCAAACAAACGAGCCACGGACCGCGCGCGATCTTTCCTTTTCCCTCTTTGTCGTATCGTCACTCCTTCCTTACACGCACTTATACATACATACATTACACTACTACACATGTAAAACTAGTCAGAAGCTTGGAGCTTGTTTCGATTTAGCTGGTGTCCCGCTGCTAGGAGAAACCTGGTTGGGGAAAACCACGCAATACATCGTGTAGGTCTGCGTCGGATCTCACCATTCAACGAGGGAAGACAACTGTTACTCCTGCGATGAAATAGCATACACTACACTTACGGGACTACAGAATCATAGACATTGAGGTACCCGGAAACATCAATTAATTGATCACAAGCGATACCCTCCATGTGCTGTGAAACGCTGAACTAATTTCGTGGGCGCAACTCAAATCAAATGTCACTGTGCTGACATGGACGCGGCCTATTGGGAACCTCATGACAATAAACTGAAGTTTAATGCTTTCTTTTCCATCATTTTTACATGCACACTTTAACGCATTTTATAAATTACGTTATTGCTGGCTGGATCTTTGCAGATATTCCACGATTTGAAATTAATGGTTTTAAAAGTTAAAATAACTTTATATGCGATTCTAATTACAGACGGTGAGCCGTTGAACTGTGCGTTTCAGTATTAATCTCTCAGTATTGTGGAAGGGTAACTTTTTAAATTCGCTTAGTGTTGGGATTAAATTTATCATAAAATGAAATAGTTACTTTAATTTTATTGTGAATATTATTTCTGTTCCTATTTCTTCAATGTAATTTTACCTCGAAACCGAAACCTAATAAACGCATCTGATCATCCGTGGTACGAAGCAGGGGCAGTACACAGCAGGGGCCTTAGAAGCGGTAAATTTTTATAGAAGTATTAGACGGCTTAAAAAGTTATAAAGTGGTAGAATTTTGTTAAAGAAAAATAACAATAGTTCCTACCTGTTTCTCTCTTTGTTTGCGTATGTCATCGCCACATGTATAAGTCGACCTGACGCCTCTTGTCCTCCAAAAAATCATCTACAACGCATGGTTTCTTATTTGTAGGCGAATGTAATACCATTTTTTAGCATTCATAATGTCAAATTTTGCTAATAGATACTGTTTACTCGGTACTCATTAATGAATAGGTACTGCACTGAAATTCTGAAGCATTCAAAAAGATTATCCGCTAACTCTGATGCACAGTGCACGAACTACGAGGTATTTCACCGCCTGAATGGCCTTAAACGTATTGCCTCCATTGGCTCTCGGGTCAACCAAAGCGGCCTGTGCGTCCGGGGCAAGGGCTGTCAGCCGGCAGTTGACACTAATGGATCAATAGGCGACTGACAGCTGTTTGCGCGCCCTCTTCATTCGTGCTTGCCCTGCACACCAGGCGCCAGTTTAATGCGCATTCGCGGACGATCCGCGCGGGGCAGAGCGGAGCGAGCGGGGTGGGGCGGGGCGGGCGGGGCGGAGCGGGGCGGGCGATGCGGGGCGGGATGAGCGGGGCAGGGCGGAGCGGAGCGAGGCGGAGGGGGGTGGAGTGGGGCGCGACAGAACTCGTGAAGAAAACATACATAGCCAAAGCAATCACGTGTGATTTATGTAAACATCTTTGATTTTGATGACGTGTGATTTATTTTAACACTTGTGATACTATTAATATTTACGTTTATTAATTTTCAATGTTATTCATTATTTTTTATATTTTTACTCTCATTTATAAATAAAAACATTTATTATTATTAATCATAAGAGTTACACTGTTTCTTCTATTTAAGTGAATTGCAATTCGACTGTAACATGTATGATGTTTGTTATTTATGACCGCTTTTCCCTGAGTCGTTTGTACCAAACATCGATGAACCTGCTCTTCCTCAAAGTCAGTAAACTAGCGGTAAGCGTAGGATGTGCCAAATACAGCTGACTCTGAATGTTCCGCACTTCTACCGCATTTCGAAGGGACAATTATCCCTTTTTGTCCATGAACATACGGTCGGAAATTGCATTGGTACTCAGTATAAGGAGTTGTCTAAATGTCAGAAGAAAATGTAACTTCGTAATATGAAATTTTACACTACATATTCTTTGGCAAAATGTGATCATTTTCGACTACTGTACGTTCCTTAGAAGTTTGTCACAATTATCCTGAGAAATCTGAGCCCGCGTCGCGCTCCCCCAGCGCCGCCGGCCGAGGCTCGTCGCCGAAGCGTCACCGTGTCGCGAATTCGGACGTCGTGTCGTCTCGTGTCGCGTCGCGTCGCGTTGCGTCGCTTCCGCGCGCTGACACTCGTGGGACGCGCCCTCGGGCGCCACCGCTGAGGCGTTCGCCCATGCGCCCTTGGACCGCTGAGGCGTTCGCCCCACGCCACGCCCACGCGTCCGTCGCTGCCAAACCGCCCCTCCCTCAAGGCGACGCCTCACGTGGATATGTGAAGAAAGAGGTGCTTTAATGACAGTTGTCACGTTGACAGGGAAGTATGTCAATAACATCTCTTGTAATACGGCTTATTGCAGATGTCGTGCCATTCAGTCAACGTCGTGCGTTTCAAATATGTGAACGAAGTAACGGCGC